GCCTTCAGGTTATTTTAGGCGGAGATTCGTCTGTTTATGGTGCTTTTATCTATTGCCATCAACCCAAATAAGTGAATTCGGATAGCTTTTTTGGGCGTTGACCTTGGCTGATTGTAGCTCAGAATCTGCTTTTCTTTGTGCTGCTTTTAGCCAGAAGGAATTGGACCATTTTGCTGCTTTATTCATCACAAGTTTGGCATGAATCTGGAAGCCAAGTATGCCAAATATAAGCCACTCAGAACCGTCTTAGAAAGGGCTTTGTACCACTGCAATACAATTTAGACATGTTTTTCATAAAGAAACTGTACTCGAAACCTACTTTAGAAAAGAAGCCCCACACACTCTTGCCTAAATACAGTTTAATGCCAAAAAGAAAGGCGTCATTAGTGTTTCAATAGGAGAAGCTCAGTCCTACAGCCTCCCTCTAACGGACTGCATTGCTGGAACAGGTGCTGTAACCATTCTGTTGAACATCAAGTAATGCGCCGTTTCACTAGTGCTAGCTATTGCAGTTAGAATCAACACACTGTCAGCAAGGGACACACAAACACACACAAACACAAACACACCGCACTTTGCTCATCAACACTACATTTACGGTGAGAATACATGGCGGTGCTTCCACTTGTATTGGCCTTAATAAGTCCATCCATACCTTATCAGCGCTCTGTCTGGGGGCCACAATGGTCAGATTGAGGAGGGACACAAAAGGCCTTTGAATGGCTTTGTGCTCTGTTTGTGTCGTGGTTTACCGCTCGTGTGTGTGTGTGTGTTTTCCCCTTATCGGATTGGAAAAGTGTGTGTACATCACCTGTGAAGCTTAGAGGAAAAACCTGGCTCCATTCCTTTGTCCAATCTGTTGTTTGTTGTGGGAATTTCTGTCATTCATGGGAATAAATTGTCAAATATACAAGTAATGGAGCACCAGAATGCAAAGCTCTTGTATTAATATGATATATTGAGTATAACCAACATGGATGTATAAAGAGAACTGGTTCTAGTGTTGGGAAACCCCATTCGTTCGCATGAAGGATGCTCAGTGGTGCTTGAAGCCAAAACAACCGGACTCGTCTTGAGAACAAAGGTATGGTGGGCCACTAAGAAAACCCCTTCCTGGTTCGCTTGATAACCAAAAGCAACATTTGCCGTTGTGAAATAAGACATCGTTTTCGATCTTGAATATCGTCTTTGCTGGTTTTTACGGGTCTGAATGGTAGGAATCTTCAACCCTGCAACATCGTTAAAATATAGAGGTATTTGGACAATAATCTTGAGATGATTGATTTTCTATATGTGTTGAACCTAGGGCTGTGCGATTATGGCAAAAATCATAATCACGATTATTTGGGTCAATAATTGATATCACGATTATTCATTGACTTTGAAAACATCAATTTATTGAACTTTAAAACAAATACAAATAATAATTTGAACAGTATCTTTTTAACTGTTGATTACCCTGAACGTATAATTCAACTGAAAAAACAATACAAAAATAAATAAAATAAATGATACATTTAAATAAATAATATCAAAATAATAAATACCAATAAACAAGATCAACAAATATTTTGGAGCGCACTTCCCCAAGCTACTAAACATATATAAATATGATAAATACAAATAAATGAGACCAAAATTAATTAGATCAAATCTGTTGCACTGTCACAACCTAGCAAAGCAAAATAATTGTTTTTTTCGATTATGTTGTTTTCGTAATTGTGGCAGGCCAAAATCGTAATTGCGATTTAAAATACGATTAATTGCACAGCCCTAGTTGAACCTGATTTCTGTTCTGGTGAAGGAAAGTTGTTCTTAGTCTCTCTTTTACAACATCATTATACAACTCCTGGACTGAATATAGCATTACAGATAGTGTGACAGTCTCGTTACCTGTCTCACTTTTCTCATGTCTGTCTCTTTGTGTCTCCTTCGTTACCTTTGTTTTTGGCTTTTCACCTCCCTTCCTCTTTCCTTCTGGGGGCATTTGGCATTTATAGGGTCTTTTAATCACTCACTGCTTGCCAAAGGGATGTCATTCTGCCTTTTCACTTCCCGGCGTCTCTCCACAAATTCGACCCATCACAAAGCCTTTCATGACTTCTTCATCTCTACAACTCTCCCTGACAGGTTTTTCAAGGATGTTTTGCAAGCAATTATTAGTCAAACCAGACTTCATTAACATCGCCACAAGACCCCGCTATAATCTCTCTCTGTCTGCCTCAAATACTCGCTCTCGCTGCCCCTCTCGAGAGCCGTAAATCAATTTGCATTCGACATCTGACATCAATCAGTCATGTTTTGGGAGAGTGGCAGCACCTCCTCCTCTGAGGCTCTGTTGAGAGACGCTAAGATGGATGGCTGTCATCTCGCCCAAGTCGTGCGGATCTCTTATCAAGGGCATTGTTTCCCCGAGAACACACTCGGCTGATCGCTCTGCGTCACCTGATTCGTCGACGGAGACTTTAAAAATCCCTCTGTTTGCCGTTACCATGCACTCAACTGAGTATAGATCTGTGCACGTGTCCTGGGAACGTTTAAGGCACGTTTTGCAGCTTTGCATTAAGGTGAACATAAAGTGAAGACATTACAGTTTGAAGAGATCCTTACAATCTGAATAGTTAATGTATCTCGGGGATAATTGATAAAATGTTTTATGAAGAAGAAGAAGAAATAAAAATAAATAAAATAAAAATGATATTATATGATATCAAACAAACATAAGAAATGTAGTACATTTTAATTAAATAAAAGATACATTTAATAACATTTAATACAATTTAATAACATTTAATACAATTTTATTTATTTATTTTTAAATCAAAAAAATAAAATAATGAAATAAGGTATTAAATAAAAATATAAGTTTGTAAAGTAAAAATGTCCAAATGTCTTAAATATATTGTATTCTGCCGGCCTTACGTAAAAGTTCTTCTTTTCATTTCATTACTGATTGGTTATTTTGCTTCACTGTGAGAGATAGCAACAATTGTTTGACGATAAAAATGTGCCAAATGTTGAAAAACAGCCCCAGCTGGAAACACGTTGCAATGGAGGGTGTGTGAACCTTTCTCAAGGCGAAGTATCTGAGGTTTCTCCAGAGGCTCTGTGGCAGTTGTTTGTTAAATCGTGTCACCTTAATTGCTTCGGAGCACTTTCAGATATCTCTCAAGAATAATATGCTTTGCTTCCAAGCCGAGGGGTCTTTGAGGATTTGGTAACACAGAGAGAGTCTTCTGTTGTCAGACGTTATTTAGTTACCTAACCTGCGAGGCCTTTCCCACATAATCAAATATTGAACCTTTAGTCCTGTCTGACCTTGTGCTCTGAAACCACGTTACGGCCTAATGACTGTCTGTTTGAGGAAAAGACAATTCATTGCAGGTCAGATTTAGCTTCAAGCCACACAGCACCTTAAAGAGGCCCTATTATTGTTTTGGGGGTTTTTATATCAGTTTGTGTGCATGTAAATGGTCTGCAAACGCTAAAATCCCTAAGTTCTGGAACATGGTGACATCACTATGATACACTCCGGCTTCTATTGGCTGGCGTTCCAACACATTGTGCGTGATAGGCTAAGGGGCGGGACATCTCTAAGCGGTTGACCAATCACAACAGAGCCGGCCAGCTAACCAATCAGAGCAGACTGGGCTCTGGTTTCAGACAGAGGGTGAAAAAAGGTGCTGCAGCACAGACAGTATGAGAAAAATAAAAAGCTTTTTGAACATTAAAGCATGGAGACATGTAGAGACACTACATACTGATATACACCTGAACATCAGCAGGAGAGGACTCTTTAAAGTAGAGACACTACATACTGATATATACCTGAACATCAGCAGGAGAGGACTCTTTAAAGTAGAGACACTACATACTGATATACACCTGAACATCAGCAGGAGAGGACTCTTTAAAGTAGAGACACTACATACTGATATATACCTGAACATCAGCAGGAGAGGACTCTTTAAAGTAGAGACACTACATACTGATATACACCTGAACATCAGCAGGAGAGGACTCTTTAAAGTAGAGACACTACATACTGATATACACCTGAACATCAGCAGGAGAGGACTCTTTAAAGTAGAGACACTACATACTGATATACACCTGAACATCAGCAGGAGAGGACTCTTTAAAGTAGAGACACGACATACTGATATACACCTGAACATCAGCAGGAGAGGACTCTTTAAAGTAGAGACACTACATACTGATATACACCTGAACATCAGCAGGAGAGGACTCTTTAAAGTAGAGACACGACATACTGATATACACCTGAACATCAGCAGGAGAGGACTCTTTAAAGTAGAGACACGACATACTGATATACACCTGAACATCAGCAGGATAGGACTCTTTAAAGTAGAGACACTACATACTGATATACACCTGAACATCAGCAGGAGAGGACTCTTTAAAGTAGAGACACTACATACTGATATACACCTGAACATCAGCAGGAGAGGACTCTTTAAAGTAGAGAATATTGCCCGTTTTATTTAAATTGCCTTTGTGTCTTTATAAAGAACTCATATTAACCTCAAACAAAGTCAATTTGTCAGGAACACAAGCATCATGCACATTATTTCAGTCAAGAACAGAACATGTTTGTTCTGTTTGTATTTAAAAAAAGGACATGGACTAAAAGCTTTCTGGAACATTGAACGAAAAAAAAGAACAACACTCAGTACATGAAATCTATTTAAAGGTAATGCTTATGGTTTGGTTTCCCTTTAAGGTAAAAGAGAAACTGAAGCTTGAAGGGTACATGAGTATTTTGGGATTTAAAGATGAGATAGATCATGAGTACTTATTTCATGAAGTGTGAACATGATTTAAAACGTCTTCCAGGAGGATCTTGCTTCATCTTACACCACTGTTATCTGAGTGTCTAATGGAAACGAGGTCATTTCTATAATAAGGTTATGCACACTATTGTACCTGCTGAAAACAGACCGTAAAATGTTTCTTTCCCTGCTCTCTGTCTACAGGAAGATGCACAGTGGAATGAAGACCTACGGCTGTGAGTTGTGTGGAAAGAGTTTCCTGGACAGCCTCCGTCTACGGATGCATTTGCTGTCTCATTCAGGTAAGGAAATCAAACGCACCCTAAAACCACACTACGATCACTGTCGAGCCACGCCTGTTTGGCTTCCTGCTGATTGTAGGCAGGGGTGGAAAGTTAATGTACTCAAGTATTACTTTAAATGAATGGACAACTTGCTTTCACACATGCTTCATCCTACTGTAAACATAATAGTTTTAAGTATGTGAAACACCCCGTGTCTGTGATTTCTGGATTAAAAACTACTCTGAGAAACTTCACCAAAGAGGTGCCTGCACATCGTCATGCTGCCAGCCAACACCTCGGTAACATTAGAGGTCTGAACACACACACACACACACACACACACACACACACACACACACACACACACACACACACACACACACACACACACACACACACACACACACACACACACACACACACACACACACACACACACACACACACACACACACACACACACACACACACACACACACACACACACACACACACACACACACACACACACACACACACACACCAGCAGTCCCTACTTAGCGCAGCACTGTTTTTAATGGCATGGCCGTCTTTTATAGGCAGCAAAGAGCTCCTCATTTCTAAAGCACTGAGTGCAGATGGTTTATTGAGACACTGTAAAAGCCATGGGACCTCTAAGGGAACCCCCTCACACACGCACACACGCACACACACACACACACATGCACACACACGCTCACACAAAACCCCAAATCCATGTGTTGAAGTTGGCCCAGGGTTCCCAATGGGACACAGTTAGTGGTGTGAATTGTTTACTTGGCACTATCAGAATAAAACATTTGAATATTTATTTATTTATTCCCGGGGTGGGAAAGGGGTTTGTTAATTGTTGCCTCATTTTAGAGTAAAATAACAAATTATATTAGAATTAAGAAAGTCATTAAGGAAAAATTAAAAATGAAATTATAAAATAAAATAAAAATCTAACTAAATATAGGAAAGTTAAGGTAAACATGGCAATAAAAGAACAAAACTGAATAAATATCAGAACATCAGAAAAATGGGCAATAAGAGAAAACATGTAATCTAAAATAATTCATTTTCACCTCAGAATCAAAGTAAATATGTGTAAAATATGTTTATTATAGTACATTTTTATGACTAATGATTAATCAGTTAAAAATATTTTCTAACAAATCTGAGTTAAAAAAATTACTTTTATTTAGATAACGAGCTTGAAATATACCGTTCATATGTCGCCTTGTGATAAGCAATCTGAGGCTTCTGTTTTAAGGAATGAGCTGCCAACTAACTAAATGAAACCCTCTGGAGAGCTGTGATGAGGGTTGTTTGTTCCTTAAAGCATATTCAATTATCAAGAATAATTTACCTACATTTGATTGATTTCGCTAACTTATAACTTAACCTATAAGGCAATATACCTCTATTTATCTATATTTTTCTGCATGTGGCCCTCAGTGAAAACAGTTTGGACACCTCTGGTTTAGTTGTTCAGAGCTGAGAGATTTGAACCACAAGTGGTACAGGAACATGGATTAAAAGAAGAGATATGACCTTTTATAATTAAGTGTTAAAATGATTTCAAACATACAGTAAATACAGTCTTCCCTCTTGCACCACATCGTTATCTGACAAGATATCCAACAGAAAGTAGGTCATTTATTGAACACCTCACAATTTGCCCCCATTGACATGATGTGAAAACTCTGCTGATAGGAGATCAAATGGAAACACACACACACACACACACACACACACACACACACAGACACACACACACACACACACACACACACACTCGAGGAAGAACCACACACTCCACCTTGAGAGCGGCAGTGGAGCGGAAGATGTGGGCAGAGTATTTTTAGCAGCAACAGCGGCACAAACTTTTCTCTTTCTCTGCTGTGTGTGTGTGTGTGTGTGTGTGTGTGTGTGTGTGTGTGTGTGTGTGTGTGTGTGTGTGTGTGTGTGTGTGTGTGTGTGTGTGTGTGTGTGTGTGTGTGTGTTGGCGCTCCACATCAACCCGCACTGTTACACACACATCAGAGCTGTTACACACATATCGTGTTGATTCATCGAGCTTTGGTCTGAACGCTTTTGGTGAAAGGCGAGACAGGCTTCTGTGAGACGGGCGACGGTTAGGGAAGAGACGCCGCCGAGCCTCAGCTCCTTTCATTCTCCGCGTTTGTCTTTTTCTGTGTCTTTTTTTCTATTTTCCACCGTTTGACTTTCAAGGCTTTTCTGGGTCTCGTCTCTCTGTAATGATGACACTTCACCGAGTCCCAAAACCCTCAACCTCCTCCCCCCCCTTCCTCCCCCTTTCCTCCTCTTCCTCCTACACCAGCGCTGCTCCTTCAGCTTGCATCAGAAAAGGAGCACATCGAACCAAAAAGAAGAATATAGCGTTTTCGATGGCTTTAATAACTGTTTGTGACTTTCAGTAAAAACATTGAACTTTCTCAGATTTCCTGCTTCCACCATTTGACTTTCTGGACTTTTCTACGTCTTTCATCATGTGGGAGAGAAAAACAGGAAGTTTAGCCTCTGCAGACCATTTACATGCACTCAAACCTATTTATTACAATATAAAGAGAAAAACCTCAAAACCCATAATAGGGCCTTTTTATATAAAAATTCCTTTTGCACTTTTTACATATTTTTGTTGCCCTTTTCCCTCAGTCGACTTTCAAGGCTTTCCTCGTGTCTCTACTTGTATCGTGTCTCTCTCTGTAATGATGACACTTCACCGAGTCCTAAAACCTCTTCCTCACCCTCCTGTTCCCCCTCCTCTTCCTCACCCTCCTGTTCCCCCTCCTCTTCCTCACCCTCCTGTTCCCCCTCCATCATCCGTCAGCTCCTTTCTCCTATCATAGAGATGAATTGAGAGAGTAGAGAAGCTTTTTGGTATTCACAGCAGGTTGTGGATGTTTCAGACTCTGCTGCTGCCTCCTGTCTCTCTGTCTGTGTGTCTGTCTGTCTGTCTGTCTGTCTGTCTGTCTGTCTGTCTGTCTGTCTGTCTGTCTGTCTGTCTGTCTGTCTCTCTATCAGTCTCTCCCTCTCTCTCTGTCTCTCTGTCTCTCTGTCTCTCTGTCTCTCTATCAGTCTCTCCCTCTCTCTCTGTCTCTCTATCAGTCTCTCCCTCTCTCTCTGTCTCTCCCTCTCCCTCTCTCCCTCTCCCTCCCTCTCTCTCCGCCCCTATCTCTCTCTCTCTCTGTGCTTGTTTCAGGACTTGGCGTCTCTCCAGTTCTGGCTCTCTGCCACCTCTCTGGGTACAGTATGTACAGTCTACCTTGTGCCAGCTATTTATTTTCCTCTCGTCTCGTTCTGTCCTCTCTCGGCACGTTGTGTTTTTTTTTATCTACGCCTGACGTTTACTGTTGACAGTGTTTGCTGAGCTGAGGGGGTTGGATCAGGGAGGAGAGCTGTGACTCAGACACTTTTTGAAAGGTGCTTTTTGTGTTTCTACACATTGTTTTACCTTAAATTAAAGTATACAATAGTAGTGCCAGTGTGTGAACTGTGACCAATATCATGTAGCCCCTTTCAGCCCCATGTAACAGCAGGTAAACCACAATAACAAACTGAAATTGATTCAACTCAATGGGCTAAATATTGGATCTCAAGGCTATTTTGTTGAATATATCGTAAAACATAAAATAAAGTATGTAAAGAAGTTAGTGGAAATGTGCAATAAAAATTATTAAATTAAATCAAATCAAAAATATGTATACAAACATAAGAAGTCATGTGCAATAAAACATAAAATTCAATAAAAAAAATATTGGCTAGTAGTACTTTAAGGTATCTGTAATGAGTATCAGTTCATCTGTAATTTAATTAAAAGTGTTTCAAAAAATGAATGCAGGTCAAAGGCTGTGTGTGTGTGTGTGTGGTGTGGTGTGTTGTGTGTGTGTGTGTGTGTGTGTGTGTGTGTGTGTGTGTGTGTGTGTGTGTGTGTGTGTGTGTGTGTGTGTGTGTGTGTGTGTGTGTGTGTGTGTGTGTGTGTGTGTGTGTGTGTGTGTGTGTGTGTGTGTGTGTGTGTGTGTGTGTGTGTGTGTGTGTGTGTGTGTGTGTGTGTGTGTGTGTGTGTGTGTGTGTGTGTGTGTGTGTGTGTGTGTGTGTGTGTGTGTGTGTGTGTGTGTGTGTGTGTGTGTGTGTGTGTGTGTGTGTGTGTGTGTGTGTGTGTGTGTGTGTGTGTGTGTGTTAATCCTCTCTTTACAGTGTGTGTACAAAGTACAGATGTGTGTGTAAGACCTGAAGCAAAAAGAAAGAACAATCTTTATTTAAGTAGCAGTCGTGGGCTAAGTGTTGCTCAAGGACACAGTGTGATGATATATGAATGGAGAGGTGATCTCCGTAATGTGTGAGGAAACCAAAATGAGTTTTTAAGCATGTATTGATTTACTTACACACTTACTTACTTTTTCACTTTTGCTTCACTGTTCTTGTTAAGCATGTGCAGCCACTTAGTGAAGGACAACAGATACATGCATTTACAACACAGTGTATACACACATACAGGCATCTAAACCATTTGTGATAATGCAAATCTATGAACAGCTGATTGAATTTAATTGACATTTCACTTTGTAATGGTAAGATAATACTTAATATTAACATTCAACAGCTCCAGATGCAGTAAGATTATTCCCCAACTCTGGAAATGGTTTTGGCGTCAAGAAACTAAAGCACAAGGAGAAACCTTAATTAACAAAAGGCCATTGTTATTAATACACGGAAAATAAATAGCCCAAAAAACACATATAAACAAGAAAACAAAGTGGTAAAAACATCAAAATGTCAACATGGGCCACTTAGCACAGCATTATCTTTCAAAAGAAAACAGACATGTCTGCTGACAGAACATAATGGGAGATGTACTTGCTAACCAGAGGAATGATCAGAGATGGCAAAAGTACACACATCCTTTACTCAAGTAGAAGTACAGATACTCGTGTTTAAAAATACTCTGGTGAAAGTAGAAGTACTGACTAAACTTCTTTACTCAAGTCAAAGTA